CCTCTAGCCAGAATTATTCAAACCACGGTCCGCACAGAACACCTCAGATGGCTAGAGGCCATATACATTTGCCTTAACACCCTCAGGAATAAGCACTGCATTAACTTCAAACAAGAAATGAAGATATCAACAGCATGGGAAGCCTTCCTCAATAAAACTCTAAAGCAGTGTTTCTCAAACTTTTTTGTCAGGTGGCACACTTGAAATTATTAAAAAAAATCACGGCACCCCTATTATTATTATTATTATTTATTATTTTGCTTTTTACGGTTAGTAAAGATATGAAGGATGAGAAGACTTTGAAAAAAATAAAAGTTTTTTTTATTAAAGTAAGTAGGTTTATTTCCAAACAATACAAAATCATTCAAAACAAAAGTTATTATTATAAAGGTATTTTTTAATTTTTTATTTAATTTAATACTTTAATTCAATTATTTTAAGCAATTTTAATTTAATTATTTAAAAATTTCGCGGCACCCTTGTGGCGTTCTTGAGGCACCCTAAGGTGCCGCGGCACCCGCTTTGAGAACCACTGCTCTAAAGTAACAACATACGGATAATGCGCAAGTCTACAATGACGCCATCGGTCACACGTTCCAAAAAGTTTTCCAAAACAACGGTTAATTCTGGAAATTCGAATTCATATAGGAAATTCCATAGTGTCTGAAGAAGAACCACATTAGGTTCGAAAACGTTTGCAAAGTCCTCTGTATTGGAGAAGAAGAACGCCGGTTACAGGCAGTGAAGTTGGGTAATTACTATGGTTGTTGAAATGCTGAATATAAACTGGGTTTGCTTGCAAAACCTCCGCGGGCGAAGTCGCGGGTAACAGCTAGTATCTAATAAAATGTTTAAAGATTAAATTAATAAAAGTAAACGAACAGTGTCGAACGTACTTTGAAACGCTGTCTAATTAATAAAAATTTAAATAATTAGAAATGTGAAAAAGCCTTATATGTATCAAATTATGAATTTTAGAGTGATAAGTAAATCAGATTGTATTCTTGTTGATAGTGAAATTTAAAATAAAAATTTGTCTTTGACGAATCCCTCCTTAAATGTCTTATACTAATGCCACGCCATCGTTGGAAACCAAACAATAATTTTTAAGAAGCGTGCCTCGCTTGTAATAATGGTAGAAGATATTTACAACGAAATTCTGTTCCTAAATTTTTTCATTTCCTCCACATCTTGAAAAAATTCCTGCAATAAAACGTCAGAAAGAAAACCAACATCTAAAGACCCTATTTCCGAAGCCTGTAAAGATAAAATATGAAGTGTCGGTCTCTGGTCATCACACGTTTTGTCCAAGGTGCGTGAAATGTTAATTTTAACGAGACGGAAATGTCAACAACCACAAAAGAAACTTAAATGTAGCAGACAGTCTAATAAAAGAAATCCAAATAAGATTGTCAATTTAAAAAACATTATTCAAACGCTTTCTAAATCCGATGCTATAATGATAGAAAATAACTTTAATGCGCTGCTTCGTCATCTATTAAAACATCGGCTTTTTAGTAATGTAGGCAATGAATATCATATGCTGAAATTGATGAGGAATCTTTTGGTTCTAAAGATGGGTGAGAATGATGACAGATTTATTAAATGCCAATATTTTATTCAGTTATATAACTCACGGAATAAAGAAAGTCTTCGTGTCTGAAATAAACTAAAATTTATGGTATTGAATGATGGAGACAAAAAATGAAGCAGCGCAGACATTAAGTAGATCTGTAAGTAATGCTTTTATATTTTGTAACGAAAATTGCATAAAAGGCTTTAATACTTTTCATGCAACTGTTGAATTCACA